AGGATAAAGGCTAGGCTAGGCTATAGATATAATACAGATGTCTAGAGACGAAGGCTTTGTTTAACGCTGGCCACTGACACGGGACGGTACCAGTACGTGACAGCCAATGACAGCGCCGGATACGCTCTAGTGACCAGAACTAAGACAATAGAAAAGGCTATGCACGACGGTGCGGGAGACTCTCTCTCCTGACAGATTCTGACACTAGTTCGAGAACCTAGTAAACATCCTATTTTGCGTCTCCTATTATCCGTCTTTTGCGTTCGTTGAGCAGCGTATTCACCGTTTCAATCGTAAGTTATGTTCATTCATGTGTCGCGCAAACATGTACACGTTTCTGCCTAGTCAGCAATTGTACAGGAAATTGTATAGATAGTAAAGGAAATTGTATAGATAGTACAGGAAATTGTCGGCAATAATAGGTGAAAGATAGTAGAGAAACATTAAGACTTTGGTAGTAAATAAATTTCGTATTTATTTAGCATTATATTTTATTGAAACGCTCCTAGTGCCTGTGCGTAAATACAGGCGTAGTTGGCAAGCGTAGCGCGGAAACCCGCGAGGGAACCAGTCTAACGTGAGTATATATATATACTGCCTGGCGGCTATAGCTCGTCATATCTTATACTCGTCAGCTACGACCAACAGCAGAGAGGTAGGCAGCGGTAAGTCATGTCGGCTCCCACTGTTCCGGACCCTGTACGCGACGTGACACCGAAGTATAAGAAGGTGAGCAAATTTACTTTCGTGATATAAACGTTTTATCATAGCAACGCGCTTGTTACAGCGCGTGACCGTTATAACGTATCATTTACGACATGAAAAAGTGCGATTTTAAAGGAGTGAAATGAACAAGTTATAGCTATAGTATAGGATAAGAATATATAAACAGAAACCAGCGCGAACGTTAGTAACCATGAGCAGCTCGTTGGCGCAGTACCACTTTATGTACCACTATCTAGTATTTACTATGTATCACATAATAATATTTACCCCGAGTCAAAACTCCCATTTTAATATAAGAAGACGCTT